CACGGAAGGTCGGGGGAGAGACGGCGAGGGGAGAAGGGCCTTGGAAATGGCGTAGCTGGTCCTGTGCTCCCCCCTGGACGCTCCAGCCGTCCCGTGTCAGCTCCCCTGGAGCAGGTCCATGAACTTCAGTACTGCAAACCTTCCGCATCAGTGGGGTAAGGAAGGCCAGCCCAGCGCCGACTCCCGGGTTCGTGTGGCAGAGAGAGTAACTTCATAGTAATGTATAGGTTTGGTTTAGGTTTTGTAAGAGCCAGCAAACACTCCCACTTTCCCCAAGAGTCAGGCATTGCTTACTCTTTCAAGCATACGATAGCTGACACCTAAACTGTCCTAGTGTTTTCCAGACTTCAGAAAGTAACAGTCTACACCTTCTGCCAGGTTTACTTCTCTAGTTGTGTCCTATCTCCTCCCGCCACTTTTGATTCCATTACTTGGCAATAGTGAAGCTGACAGACATAGTAACATAGATTTCATTTCGCTCCCACTGCTGTGGCTCTTCCCTAGTTCTGAAGAAGTCTCGCCTTATTTTCATAATAGCCAGAGTGGTCTGATGACAGGCACATGGATACAACATCTTACCAGCATGGAAAATTAAGCGTCACAAGTAGTTATTTCAGTTTATTTTGATCAGATAAAAACAGAACTATAAAATGTTTGGTACATTTTATTTAGCGACATACAAGAAAGAATATAAACTGCCACGTTAAACTTGCCACAAAACAGCTGGAGAATCACTCCACTCCTTCCCCCTAAAATTATGTATCCAAAGTGGTACGTTTCTGTGGAAAACTTGTACCAGAGCGCTTATACTGCTGCTTCTTGATAATCTGTGTGGTATAAGAGGTTGACAAAGTGCTCCAAGTTTTACTTTGTAGTAACTGTAACTTCCTAAACACGTTCTTGTGATTTCCCCAACATGTGTGTTCCACTTAAATGCACAGCACCCAAAATAGATGGATATCACATATCTATATAGTCAGGATTCAATTCCATTCAAGACAACTGTATTGACAGGTCACAAATTAGTATGCATGATGGACAAGATAAAATACACAGTATAAGCTAAACATGCAGAGCACCCTTTTCAATGCTAGGTGTCGATTCTGTGAGTTCCCCCCCCCACTATACTTTAGCCCAGTGGAGCTTAATATTAGCATCACTGACCAAACCCAAATCACAATTTTAATTAATGAATGCAGATATAGTTTCCTTCATGCTAGCACTACATCAGCTCTCCTCTCAGTCACTACCAGCTTTAAAATGTGTTTTTGTAAGCCTTTAAAGGCATGTAAAATAATAAATGCTAAAAGAAGTGCCATGATTTACTTCTAACAGCAAAATCTCCCTTCACCACCATTTGTTGTTCCCTTCCTTTTCACTCTCTCCCCATATCCCTCTCTCACTGGAGTGGACCTAAATAATCTTCTGTTACCAAATGAATTTTGATCACTTCCATGCTGCATTCATTTGCAGCCCCTTCTTCATCCTGACACTAAAAATCTTTAGAAAACAAGTACAGGAAGATGACAAAAGCCAACAGAATTTAGGACTCTAATGGGGAACATAGAGGACCTCACCTCTATTTCAAAGTGGCCATAAATTCACTCCCCCAGATCATGTCCGGCTGATAATAATTTCTTTCAGAGACTGTTTAATTTCAGTTCTCTTCACTCATTCTATGCTATGGATTATAAGATTTTTTTTGCAGTAATCCTTTCCAAAGGATTCCAAAGATAAGGCTGAAGGTGTATTCAGGAAAAAAAAAAAATCTAATCAATAACTTTTTACAACATAATCCTCACAGACCCTCAGTGAGGTAGACGTGTTAGCTCTCATTTTTACATACAGGGAACTGAGGCACAGAGAAGTGACTCCCCCATGGCTAGACTAAATCAGTGACACAGGAGAAACTGAAGTTAGTTCCTGCCTTTCGACCTTTTGATCAATTCAGTAGATCGGGCTGCCTCAAAAAAATGAAACAAGGTGTGTTGTTTGCTTTTTATTAAGAAAACAGTCACTTAGATGGCAGTAGACTTTTTTTTCTAAAAACCTCAGGGTCTTCTCTAAGTGAAAACCATTTCTCAAAAGCCCTGGTTAAATACCAGGTTTTGAGGTGGGTTGTTTCTATTAAGCCACGCAGTGTAGAATGTGAAGATTTTTAAACAAAAACTCCAAGACATCAGAATGTGTACATATTCTTATCTGCCATCACCTTAAACCACAAGGCCTGCTTTTCGCTACCGCCATTTGCTTCTTGCACTTCATTGAGTGTGAGCAGTAAAGCTAGACAAGTCTGTTTAGCTCCCCCATTCTTAGGCTAAACCGCTAACATAATTTAGGATTTCCAAAAGCAATACAAATATTTGAAGTTTAATCTACAAAGTGTTGAGTTAAAACCATGACTATACAAGTGATCACACTTCTGTTAATATCAGAACTTAGAGAATTTTAAAAATAAACCAAAATGATGTATCTGGAATATGTTAGCATCCTTTTAAGGCTACATAGGATCTTGTTTCTCAAACTGCAAATACCAGCATCCTTTAGAGATTAGAGACTAAACACCCCTCTCTTCTCCAGTCTTAAGCCACTCTGCAATTTAGCAATTTCACTGTCAGGGCAGTTTAACCATCATACGTGGGCACCATCTGATTCGTCCAAAGAAGGTCAATACAGTACAATGCATTTCCAATATAGTACGTGACTGTAGCAGCATACAGACCCCAAGTAATAACCTCCAGAACTGCCTAGAGAAATCTGGCTGACATCAGATTAAATTAGTATTTGTGAAGAGACTTACTGGTGGGTGTCTGTTAACCTCCAGCTTTTCTCCTGCTCTGGAGTTAATGCCTCACAAATAAGGTAACTTTACCTTTATATAGTGTTAAACAAATGCAATTTTTTTTTCTCCTTAAACCTATCCTCAGATAAAATGAATATTCTTAAGTTAGAGTCTGGATCAGAGACTCCAAAAAGTAACTTAGTTGGTAATCAGCTCACAGTAGGGGAAGCCAAGCAAAATGTGTAGGACTGACAGCTCAAAATAAATGCAGAGGAAATTTTTTTTTTCTTTTTTTTACACTGTGGATGATTTCTCAATAAAATAGAATCATGCCAATTTTATGACTCCAGTAGTCTCTTAGTATCTGAAGCAGCAGTAAGAAAATCTTCATAGAAGTGTTTGTGGTAGAGGGTCCAGACAATACTCCTGTCTAACCAGTGAACAAACAGAACCCAGACTTAATCATGAGAGTCTTTCTCCAATGCTGTTGAAAACTATAACTTACCACCAGTCTATCATTAACTCCAGATACAGGTTAAAAAAAAAAAACGAACAAAAAACACCATTAGCAAAACCCGCTTGAAATGTTTTCCCTCAGGGCTACAGAAAAATTAGCCAAATTCTTTATTCCACTAGTAGTGAAACTGCCCCCCATGGCAATAGTTACTTGATCACATTATCTCCAGTTTACTTCAAGTCCATGTAAAGTCACATTTATTTAGACTTAACACACATGGTTTCCAGTGGTGCTTCTGGTTTAGGCTCCAGCTTCTCTGGGAATTCTAGTTTTTCACAGATTGTCTCCTTTATCGGTAGATACTGAGAGATCTCATTAGGTTCCGTGAACAGGGAAGGTGGAACGTGCTAAGAAGCAAAAATTTTACGTGAAACAAGTGAATGAAAGGGGGGAGAGGTATTTCAAAATCAAACTTTTACAGACAATTAATTTATAATTTACCTGATTTAAACACCTGAAGTCAGGTATGATTACTAAAATTTACCTTATACCTTCAAATGTACATACAGTCTTTTACTCCTTGTGTGGATCAATAGGCTAAGGAAAGGTATTTAATGGTTTTAAGCAGCCGATTATAAGAGTGCAAGAAAGTCAGACATTCATGAACAGCTACAATCTTTAAAAAAAAAAAAAATATATTTATCATTTCAACGTAACAAGCACTCTTTTTGAGGTTCTAGTTCTAGATGAGACTAGGATGGCCACAAGGCATCCCACGCTTAATGCCTTCTAGCCATTGCAGTATATTCACTGGAGTTGCTCAGATTTAGCTCCTGGTAATTGATATACCTCAACATGTATCTTAGTTTTATGAAGTCCACCACAGACATTTATATGAAATACTAAAACTGATTGGATTTTAATTTCGTATTTCAAGAGATTAGGTGGTTCATTAAGTTAATCAGTATCTTTCTCTGGAGATCCCTGTAGATAACTTAACTTCACCACATGCAAAACATTTGATGGGGGGAAAAAAAAAAATCTACACTGAGCAAACCACCTTCAAACTTTCTAACAACATTCTTTAATGCAACCTGTATTTTGGCTGCCCCTAACACACAAGGAATCATACTGCTGTTTCAACCATTTCAAACCTAAGTGAAGCAGGAATCTTTTTTTCTTTACCTATGCAAGCTGATCTAGGGAACTGAAAAGCCATATGCATATATAACAACAGGCAGTAAAAATTATTTAATGGTGTAGATGATAATTTTTAAACACAAGGTGAAGTAAAACCTAGATCACCGATTTATATTTCAAAGCCAACAAAACTATCAAAAAGTTCATGTCCGGATTTAGTCCTGTTTATAGGGACCACATATTGTTAAGAAATAGTACAGTGCCCCTTTCCTCAAAAGGAAAAGCATTTAGCAAAAAAAATATTCCCTCAGAAAGTTAGGAACATGTTAGTCACTTTGCAGGTGAAAGAAAAACAAGGGAGAAGGAAAGTAACAATACTACCCAAGATCAGGTGTTGGGTCAAGAATAAAAATCAACAACTGCAACTCCAAATGTGCCACAAATTATTCTGAGCCATTACTAGAGTTTTAATGTGGGCTATTAAACTTATTTGAGAAAAACTGAATGAATCTATTACCAAACAGATCTTAACTCCTAATACTACATGCAAGCATACAACCAGTCCTGAAATTTAGCACCATGGGACATGAACTACCTGATTTTGTGGCTGAACAGTTCTATGAAAAAATAAAATAATAAAAAAATCTTGTTAACTCAGAAGTAGAAAGAGTAACCCAATCCTGTATCTTGTCATGTGATCTGAGCACTTACAAATGCAAATTTGCCCTGAGATCACCAAAATAAATGTTGCATAAGCAGAAAGATTTTTCCTCTGTATCAATTCCAAACCTGACAAAGAATGACTTACAGACACAGTATTTTCTACACTGACCATAAAATAATTTTAAAAAGCAGATGGGGAAAAAAAATGCGATACCTTTAAACTTGATATTTTGCTTTCTCTAGATGTATATTCTCGCAACATGTAGGCCTTGTCAGCCTAATGGGAAAAAAAATGGCAAAAATTAATTACAAAATTATCATCTAGTATCAGTGCAAAATAAGCATTTAAAATACATGGAATTTAGTAAGCATTTGAATTCGGTTGAACGCAGATTTTCACCTGGGAGCAAAAACGTACGTTCAGATTCATGGAGACAGAGAAAGATGTTTAGCAATGTTGTCTTTACCAAAAATCACCTTTCTGCCTCCGTGCATGAAAAAAATTCTATGACTGAATATGCTTGTTAATCTTTACTCAGCTAGAACTCCTACAATACTCCTACTCCTATGAATACCTATGAATAGACATTCAATAAGCAAACCACAACTGTTATGTTCTTTATTATTTATGAACTATTAGAACTCAATGTAGTATGGACAGTTATTTGCGAGTTAAAACATGCAGTCATGTATTAGACAAGCCAAAAAACATTTACTTGGAGAAGAATAATATCACACCATTTACTGTTGCCTATTTTTCCTCTTGTACTTCCTCTCTAATCTGTGTCTGTCAAATGTATTTAAATGATTACTTCAAATGAGGGGTAGCCTATTCTGCTCATACAGTACTTAGCCCCATGGCATCCAGCACTTTGTTGCTACTTCAGCATCACCGCAGTAATAAAATATACTTTAAAGTTCAGTTCAGGTAACCTCTGTGCCCCCAAACATCAGTATTAAATTACAGGAATATCAGCAGGTCTTCCCTGAAAGGGAGCATCTGTAAAATATTCATGATGGTGAATAAGGGTTTACCTCATGATGAAGCCTTGTATCGTTCATCCTGATAAGTACCCCATCAACTCGCAAGAAAAACCTCAACAGCACAAAAAAGCTGGAAGGCATAACCCTCTGCAAAAACAAAGACGTTCCATGCAGCGTATTACAAAAGTTTTACTTTAAGTATGCACTTATCTACATCAGATATTCACAATGAAAGACAGTATGGGAGCTTTCAGTAGTGAAGTCAAAATTTGGGCTGGTTGGTATGCTACAGCTATCATTGGACAGCAGGGCAGATAGTGTGTCAAAAGATTCTTAGGCAGGATGCAGAAAGGGGGAAAAGATTGTTACCTCAAGCAACTGACAGATTTCAAGACAACATAGTTTCCAATAAGATTATATTTCTAAGAGCGAGGATAAAGAACTTTGCATTTTAAACTTTAAATCCCAGAACGAATAACATGCAAAAAGGGACTGCATTTTGCATACATTAGCCAACTGGGTCACCAAGCATCTTGTATACACCTCTCAGTACTCACTATTTTTACACTCAAACTTGATACTCCATGATCATGAAGTTCATCTTCAAACAGAAGTACTTCTTCAAAAAACATAATTTGTTCCCTGGCTTTCAATTTCTCTGTATTTATGTGTTCTGTTGTAGGAACAACCTAAAGAAAAAGATTAAGAACAGTTAGCGTATTAATGTATTCCCAAGCTACATAAAGTTTGTTGTGATCTTTTAAATCCCACAATTGCTAGTTTTAGAAAGGAAAAAAGCTTTTAGGGCACTAAGCTTAACACACCCGAAATTTCTAAGAGAAAAAGTTAAAATGAAAAAGCAAAGTTTCCAAGAGTAAGCATCAATCAAAGCAAAAACCAAGAGTGGAAAATTGTGAATAACTCCCCTCTGGGTACAGGATCAGTAGGGTTTAAGCTGCAAACAGTTCTGCTCACTTTCTGTATTTCAAAACATTTGAAAATACCTCGTGTTTTAACATACCAATGAAAAGTTTGGGGTTATAAACAGAATTCCACACATTTAGTTATCTCTAGCACACTACAAACCTTGAACAGGATTCTAATAAGCCTTTCCATGGAAATCAAGTATCTGTATGTTTTCCATCTCATGGTCTCCATATACACTCATACACTTCTGCTGCCTAAAGACTATGGGCCAACAAGACATCGTTTATTTCTATGCTGCACTTTTAATTCCAGAATAACTCGAGTGATCTGTAACAAACAATCCTAGTCAAATAATATAGATATCTGCTTAGTAGCAAGCAATCTGTATACAGTAAAGAGAAGCTGGGAAGTTCAGTCTTATTTTAAAGTAAATACAGACAAGGGAGGGCCTGTGAGTTTAAATAGGAGGAGTTACTGTTGCAGAAAAACATAAAGTCATTGAAAGCAGCCAGATCTACGTATCTTCTTAGATAAACAGGCAAGCAACAGAGAGTAAAGGTACTAGAGAATTACACAGTCGATAACTCTGTTGTGTGTGAGGAGCTCAGGGCTTCAGGGGGGCATGCAGCAAGTGCTGAAGATTCCCATGTGCTTTTCTCTCTAAGTAAGTCCTCACTAAGGGACACAATGACACCCTTTTATATAATCCTAAAATGCTTTAAAAAAAAAAAACAAAACAGAAAACCCCAGTTATTAAAATAGGCCATGATTTGATTAGGATAACATGCTGACAGACATGAAAAGCCCAAACTATACTTTGAAGTCAGAAACTACGAAGCATGAAAGATTTTACAGAAGCCTATTGAAAGGTAAATGACAGCTTTAAAAAAAAAAAAAATTAAAAAAAAGTGTTTGCATTTGACTCAAACAATATGCAATCAGCATTTAACAAGGAAAAAATGGTTACCTTTAATGTTGCAGTATCTCCCAGCAATGTTCCTTTGTAGTCTGTTGTGTAAGTCCAATCGTATGGCTTGACAACTTCCTTAGTGTGCTCAGTCTCACTCCTCAAGAAGTGGAAGAGAAAACAGCATGCTTTGTAGTAATTCTTAAAAAATTACAACCTCACGTAAGATTACGTATCATGATTCCCACATTCTTCAAGAAGAAAAATAGCAGCATTGTCTGTGCTGCAATGACAATGTCAAGACTTAATATACACTACTGCTTCTTTCACAACATCTGTTTCCATAATAAATTAGAAAACCATTACCAGAATTCCTGTGCTACCACTATTTCAGCCCTATGAGTCAAAATAAAGATTTTAGTTCAATGTTGTTGAAAAATTTGTATTTCAAGATCATTTTTTCTTTAAGTAGGCAGAAAGCAATCTCCTGGTAACACACAGCAATCACTAACACTGCTATTTGCGTTAGTTTTCATGACCGTTTTGATTTCTCTCTGTGCTTTATTTCTAGGTGCTCTGCCACTAATGTGGTAAATACTATGCAGTAAAATTAGTTCTCATGCATGGTCATTGTTCTGCTATATTCCTAAGGCGAAGATTTTGAACATGTACAGCATTTTGCACTTTGAAACGCCACACAATACAATCTTGTAATGCTCGAGGCCCTACGAGTTTGAATAAACAGAAACAGCATTAATCCACGTTAAACTTGAGGTTTATTTTAAGAAAGCCAAGACAAAGCTGAAAAATACAGTTGACCCAATTTAACAGGTAGGGTGATCATGGCAAAAAAAAAGCTAAGTGACTTCTGTGATCACACACTGTATCTACAGTAGAATCAAATCAACACAGTTTTCAGGAGTTTGGTCTGTTAACTACTTTATGACAGTTTCACAAACAACACACCAGTACTTGCCCACTGGTGATAAAATACTGTACCTGCTCTCTTGCCACTCCTCTGCACAAGCCACTTTGATCATACCTTGACAGTTATTGACACATTTTAAAGCATCTGTTGCATTGAACTCAATTCCAAAACCACGATCATGCTGTATTCTTAGGATATTGTCTCCAAACATCATCTCTGGCAGGGAAGGCATGTGTAATTCATCAGCCAATCTGCACATAAAAATAAAAGTCCCGTGAAGAGAGATCAGTCAGCTATAGTTCAGTGAAAGCAGTCCTTGTTTTGGAATAAATATTATTTAGACCACGGTAATGTAGAAGACACACCATCAATATATTCTGCAAAACTTCGTTGTTTTCCCAGTTTAATCATTTGACATAAATTGCAGTCTCATTGATTCGAAGTGATTTTTTTCACCACAAAAGTATTCCTAAAACATTCCTTCTCCATCAGGCTCATACAGAAGTCTCATATGTGAGGAATCAAAAAAAATCTGATAAGCATGACATAGCAGCTTTCAACCTGTTGCAGCAAATCCCTGGACGGTCCATGAACTACTTCAGCAGGTGCCCAAAAGGAAGTTTTAGGAACGAGCACTCATTGTCAGCAAGTTTAAATTCACTACACAGTGGTCCGTACCTCCAAATTTAGAAGCCTACAAAAAGGGGCCGAAAACAACCCTGGCAGAGTATGTGAAAAATAAAGTGCAGAAAACACTAGTGTGCACTACTACTTTCCCGACCTGGTAGAGAATACCTACCAGTATTTGTAACCTTAAGCATGAAAGCCACAGCCATAGCCACAGATCCAACTGAACAAAGTACTGCATGAACCAAATAGGCACGGTCCCTGCAGAAAATCTCAAACCATCTTATTTCACTTTTTGTTTTACATAAATCTTTATACTTATTTATACATATGTATATATATATACACATACACCATATATAAATACACACATATAACACCACTTTATATACACACTGACTTAATTTACCAAAAGGCTTCAAATACTTCTTTTCCTCTCTACCACTACCTACTTCAATTATCGAGACCAAAAAGAAATACATGACATCTGGAGAGAAGAAAACTTTAGGAAATACACTAATTATAAGAGGGTTGGGGAAGCATCCTAATAGCAACTTTCACATTGATAATAAAGCATTCCTGAACAAAAGTGGTTATTTTTGTTACCCGGTATACAAAAGAATATTATGTTAACCAAACCGAAACAAAAATAGTGAATTAGTAGACATGGAGAATAAGATCCTATGTCTTTCCCAGAGAAGGCAGAATAATGTTATGAACTTTTCCATTTCATCACGTGCAGGCCCCTTGACCTGCAAAGACCAACTCCAGCACAGAAAGGAGTTCTTGGCTATGGCACATTTAATCCTTCACCTTTCCACAGAGGTTGCCAAGGGATTTTTGTGATACACATTTGCCAGAAAAAAAACTCCTACAGACACTAGGGATGTTCCCCAAGCAATAAAAAATGCAAAATGCAAAGAGAAATACATTATAAAAGGAAACTGACTAAAAGCACTGCTACTGGATAGTTCTTGACCCTTCAGATTTGAAGTGGAGGAATTGTTTTGAGGATCTCATGCCAGGTACCAAGACTTACAGGTAAACGGCTAATTTTGGACTTCTCTACCCTACAAAATCCTCTGTGTTCTTTCAAGGATGTGTTGTGGCTCTTGCAACTTTACTTTTCAGCCTTTTTCAACATGTTCTGAAAAACTGTGTGTCCCTCAAAAACATCTAATCAGATAAAGGTAATTTCTGAAAATTACTGAGGTGACTCTTTATTTTAAAATAGCTACAGTTAAAGAAACTGAACAGATCAGAAGACGAGTACAGCAGGCAATTTGGCTTCTAGACTGGCAGTTGAAGTAATGAAGAGAGCTGACATCCTCCTGATCTTATGGATTAAAGATCTTCATTTTTAAGAGGTAGGATCCTACAAAATAAGTCTTCATAAACATGCCACAGAAATGGGACACTGTAATAATAGCCCTCCTTCCCCTGCAGGATGCGTGTACAGCTTAGCTGGATCTTGAATCCTTATTATAGAAAAATGACTAAATCACAGGATTCAAATTTTCTTATCTGTAACTGCAAAAACTAAAGGACTGTAAGTCAGAAACAGTTTGAGAAGATTATTTTAGGCATTAAATATAGTAAAGATAGAGGAAGGAACATAGTTTTTACCTGTTTTAAGGCAGATATCCAGTTTAAAAAAAAAAATCAGTATAATTCTGTTATGTTAAAAAATTAACACTTACATAATTTACTATAATAAAAAAGTGTAACATTTCAAGACATGAGACTTTATTAAACAAACAGCCTCAGAAAAGTTAAAAGGAACATGAACAAAGATACATTTAACAAGACTAACAAGATTTCCATGTATGTATTCCAGAAACTGAAACCAAGAACTATCTGTCAAATTCAGCTGTCACCAAGGTGAGCTATAGCACTACACAGCCAAACTGTTCAGTTCCACATTAGCAAATCTCACTTAAATACTTGATGCTGACACAGGAGCATTTTCTCCAACAGTTTGACAGCAGTGGAAACTACTACAAGGAGAGAGCAAATAATAAATTTTTAATGAAAACCACTATCTTAAAATAGCCATTCCCACTAAATAGCTTATGAGAGTCTGTGGACCACATTTAAAAGACCATTAATCACTGTTAAGAAGTAATTAAGAAAAATAGGCTTCTAATTACCAGGCTTCAGTTCACAGAAGTCCAGATCTCCAAAACCGTTAGCAATTATTAAAAACAAAATTCTGGAAACCATCTGTAACCCAAATCATCCCAGTTTCTCAAGCCAAAGAATCAAGATTACTCTCGCAAAAAGAGAGGGACACCCCTCTCCCCCACCACACACATACACACACCCCGAGTTACTGGACTAAACAACGTCTTCTCCGCCCAGGAGAACGTTATTTCCTTCTTGTGCAAGGCGACAAAGCGCCCCAAACCCCTCGCTGTCAGGGAGCGAGGTCCCAGCCCCGCGCAGGCTCCTCCCGGCGCCCTAGGGAAGGGCAGCAGAGCTACCGTCCCATGTGCGTCCGTTCCCCCCGGCCGGCCCCAAGCCCGCCCCA